CTTTTTATTTCATGGCTGCAGTCACTATCTGCAGTGATTTTGGAGCCCCCCAAAATAAAGTGTGACATTGTTTCCACTGTCTCCCCATCTACTTCCCATGAGGTGATGGGACCAGATGCCATGATCTTAGTTTTTTGAATGTTAAGCTTTAAGCCAACTTTTTCACTCTTCTCTTTCAGTTTCATCAAGAGGCTTTTTAGTTCTTCTTCACTTTCTGCCATAAGGGTGGTGTCATCTGCATATCTGAGGTTATTGATATTTCTCCCGGCAATCTTGATTCCAGCTTGTGCTTCTTCCAGCCCAGCGTTTCTCATGATGTACTCTGAAGGACCATAATGATCTGGCTTCAGTGTATCTGTCTACTCACCTACTACTGCGTTCTTGCACAAACTTTCTGCTTCAGGTGTATGTGCTACTAAGATGTGCCATGCTCTCTGACTTCCGTTGGTTTCTACTCTTCCTCTTGTTAATTTTTAATAACACCTCCCAAATACCTTCGAGATCAGGATTGCTACAAGCAGTTACTTGAGTTCCCCAGTCTCAAATGGGTGCCTTCATATTCTCTTAACATTTTGTACACCTAGAACATTCATCATACTGCTAATTATTTTCTTCTGTTTCTCTATAAGGTGGTAACTGATTTAAGGGCAGAGATTGTGTCCTTTTTAATCTAAGGACTGCCAGTCCCTAGTACCTTACAGACACTAGGTAAATGCCAGTGGCATGACTGAATGAGAAATGAACACTTTAACAATGTTTGAAAATAGTTCTGCCATCTCCCTGGGTAAACTGCAAGACAGAGCAATGAAACTGGTGCAGCTGGAAGACACACGTACATTTTGAAGCAACATCTGTTAAACTCAACTACAGAATTGCTAGTTTAGGAAACCAAGTGATATCAAGTACGATGATAAATTTTCTGTAACTGATGACAGAACCAAGGATGGAGAGGAGCAGACAGTTAAGGAAAGAACTGGGAGTTTCCTTGGTGTACAGTGGATAGAAATCTGCCTGCCAGTGCAGGGGGAATGGGTTCGATCCCTGGTCTGGGAAGATTTCGCATGTTGCGGGCAACTTAAGCCCATATACCACAGCTACTGGAGCCCTTGGGCTCTAGGGCCCCCAAAAGCCACAACTGCTGAGATCCTGAGGCACAGTTACTGAAGTCCATGCCCCTCGATCCTGTGCTCTGCAGCAAGAAAAGCCACCACCACGAGAGGCTGCGCACCGCAGCCCAGAGTAGCCCCCATCACTGCAGCCAGAGAAAGCCCACGCGCAGCAGTGCACGGCCTGCTCAACCAAACAAAGGAAGAGAAATAAGGAAAAAGGGAACTGGAGGACTCCTGGTCTACTGGTACAGAAAGTCCAATATTCGTGTAAGTAATATTTTAGAGAGTGAAGAATACATACTGCCTGTTACCATTCTGATTACAACTCAAATATTGAGACAAAGGGTTGAGACAGATATTGAGACAATTTAAATCACCAGCTTAATTTCAGATTAAGCAGTGTCAGTTCAGTTCAGTCACTCAGTTGTGTCCGACTCTTTGTGACCCCACAGCCTGGAGCGTGTCAGGCTTCCCTGTCTATTAGCAGCTCCCGGAGCTTGCTCAAACTCATGTCCATCGAGTCAGTGATGCCATCCAACCATCTCATCCTCTGCCGTCCCCTTCTCCTCCTGCCTTCAATTTTAAATCACCAGTTTAATTTCAGATTAAGCACAGTGTCAAACTTTCAAAATCAGTGACTATTGTCATGAATAGTGCTTATTTTCCACTCATTTATATCTCGACCTAGGATCAGAACTAATGTGGGGAAAAGCATTTCAGAATATAGTAATAATAATAATAAAATAGTCTCAAGTTATTGAATACTGACTGTGCCAGTAAATCTCTCAACAAGCCACAGCAGCATCCCAGGTGGGTATTATTTTGCACATATTACTGAAAGTACAACCAAATCTCAGGCAGGTTAAGTAACTTGCCCAGACTCATGCAGCTCAAGTGTAGTAGAACTGAACTTCAAACACAGGTCTGATTTAAGAGTGTGAGCTCTTTATGACTATGTAGTCGGCCTTGAACCAGTCGATGTCCAAATTTTGCATTGAATAATCCCCTCCTTGCTTTGCTCTGAATAAAAAAGAACTGGTTACTCAAATTATACTTGTATTCTCATGGTGGAAAAGGATATGGAAACACTCAAATTCTTCCAAATCAATGATCAGATGATAATGTTCAGTTAGTGGTCTGTTATAAAAATGTGTGTGAGTATAGGTTTCAGTATGCTGACTTGAGAAAACCTGGTTTGGGTAAATATCTCTTAATACCTATATTTACAGTCTTATTTTGGTTAGGTGAATGGTTTTCTTTTTTTCTTTTTTAGGTGAATGGTTTTCAATGGAAGATTTTAAGATTTAAAAAACTGCAACCACTTATAAATTTTAAAAAAGTACCTAACAAGCATGATCCTTACCATAGTATTAGGCATAAGGATTGCAAGGGGAAAGGACTAGAAGGGGAAAAATGAGCCAAAGGAAAGAAGCAACTGAATTAAGATATGGCTCTCCAAGTGCTCAGCTGTTTCTGAAACTTCTCAGTGTGTGTCTGCATTGCCTGGCTTTGGAACTGGGGGCACTGCCAGCCACAAACATCATACATATTCATTGCCGGCTTGGCTTCTGCTCTCTGCAAGGAAGGTAGCTAAGATCTGCTTAGCTTCGCAAATCATGCAAAATGGGTTTCTCCACAGGGCTTTGCCTCTTCACTAGGACAGAACCCAACCTGACACTGGAGGCTTTATCCTTCTTTTAAAACAAATCCATTACAGTATACTAACACATATATATGGAATTTAGAAAGACGCTAATGATAACCCTATATGCAAAACAAAAAGAGACTCAGATGTATAGAACAGACTTGTGGACTCTGTGGGAGAAGGCGAGGGTGGGATGTTTCAAGAGAACAGCATTGAAACATGTATATTATCTAGGGTGAAACAGATCACCAGCCCAGGTTGGATGCATGAGACAAGTGCTCGGACCTGGTGCACTGGGAAGACCCAGAGGGATCGGGTGGGGAGGGAGGTGGGAGGGGGGATCAGGAAGGGGAACACATGTAAATCCATGGCTGATTCATGTCAATGTATGATGAGAACCACTGCAATATTGTGGAGTGATTGGCCTCCAACTAATAAAAAAGAAAAAAGAAAAAAGAAAAAGAAAAATAAAACAAATCCTCCCCCAAAAGTACCATTGAGGTACGCTTGTTAGGAGAGAAATGCAAATGTTGGTGAGGAAAGTCAGTTGCTTGTGAAATAACTAGAAGAAATCTGTGCATATTTTTAAAGGTTCATTATAAAATATATTTGGATATAATTATCCTTACTAGTGGTACTGAAGGGGTGTAATTACCAACTTGTTTTGGCTCTGAATAGTAATCACAAACACATGGCCTGATGTGACCGTGAACTCTGGATCTAGAAGATGAGATTCCAAGAGATTGCAGGACACTTCAGAATAATGTTTCCCTTTGTATCAATAGCACCCCATGTACCTCTGTTTCTGCTACCAATTGAGTCAAAAGCTTAACATTTAGAGTCAATTAGGTTTATTCCCAAGCCGGTTTCTGCCAGTTTCACTTGTTATTTTAACTGTATAATTTGATGAATCTTATATAACCTATGAAATATGAGTATACTGGAACTATGAAAAAGTCAAATGCTTTGGAAAGATTCAATAAAGGGGATTAATAGGCAAAAATCAACTAATAATTAAATAGAGGGGAAACTTGAAAACATTAGGGAGATAAAAATCTAGTTGGAGTAAGCATTCAGATTGCTTTAAGTTCTTTAAATTCTCACTGTATTAAAGCAAAACAACACAAAAAACCCCCCAAACCTAGAAATCTTAAACTATATTATGGGTATGACTTAGGCAAAGAAGTTGAAAGATTTTTAACTATAGTCAGCAGAAAAGTGTTGGCTTCACCCATAAGATGGGTACATTTTTTTTTTTTAAGATGGGTACATTTTTAAATTAAATGTTTATGTTATAGAAATATGTCACTTTTTAGAAATCCCCATGTTAGTTGGCTCTTGTTTTGATTAGCTTGGGTTCTTATCCAAATCAGATAAAAGGGCATCCACAGGGGGCTACTCAGATTACTGAGTCTTGGCCACAGCAGCATCAAAATGAAGTTTGCTAGAAATGAGAGTCTCAGTCTCCACCTGGGGTTAATGCTCAGGGACTGTGTTTTAACAAGGTCTTCAGGTGATCTGAGGCCTTCTCAAGTTTGAGACGCACTGCACCCCTGTATTCACACATTACTGGAAGCACTAAAAATGGATATAGCCCTTTAAGAAAGCAACATGGTACAAGACTCATCAGGAATTATAAAAATTCCCTTTTTATTTTGACTCAGCCATCCTACTATTTAGGAATATTTCCTAAAGAAATAATTCAAAAGAAGACAAGTTGAATAAAGATATCTACACATAAAAATATCCATGATTGTGCCACCTACAGTAATGAAACAAATGGGAGCAATCTAAGTGAGAAGAAAAGAAAGGTAAATAAATTATGGGCAGTAAATTAAAATAATAGCTGTTAAGGATTTGTAAAGTGGTACCATGTATATATAGCCACATAAAAAATAGAACATGCACTGCAGTTGTTATTATGTAATATAACATCAACTAGAAAATGACTACTTCTATTCCATTAGGGTGGTATTGGCTGATGATTTACTTTTCATCTTTAAAAATTATTTTAATACAGCTGTAACATTTATATAATGTAAATATCTTAATTATATCATTAAAAACCCTATTATTTAAAGTTCAAACTACACTCTTAACGCCCAATTTAAAGACTCTCTTAACTACAGAAAACACTGCTGCAAAGTCAGCAGCCAGCTGTTGTATGTAAAACACCAAGATCTAATATCTTTGGTGGCAGATGGGCAGTTAGAGAAACGAGTCTTAACTGTGGAGATGATCAATACCTGAATTATCTTCATCTTTGCGGATTTTGAGCTTCACCAGGTCTTCACACTGCTGGAGGATCTGAACTGCATCTTCCATGGAACAGTTGTCCAGCCGGATGTTATCTATGGCTAGTAACTTATCCCCAAGTTCCAAGGTTCCCGTTCTGTTAGTAAAGGCATAGCAAATGCATGGTTAATGATGAACACTTCACCAGGTTATTTAAAAGGCATTCTGCATAAAGTAGCATTATGGTAGTCTTTAGGGGAAATATGATTCTTCAACTTTGAAAAATTGCATTTTATTGACATATCCCCTTTCTCCAGTCTTATTTTGGATGGCTGCTGTGACATTCAATTGCAGATTATTAAGAAACATTTTTATTCTGCTTTCTTTCATTCGATCAGGACAACCATTCCAGTGTCATCCAGGAATTCCGAGGTTCCCAGGAAGGTGCGTAATGAGCCTGGGTTTACACGGCTCAGGTGTCCTTATGATTCTTTGCGTTGTTGCACCAACTTTGGTCCTCGGCAGTCCAGACATAGGCGAGGGTGGAGGGAGTGAGGGGAGTCAGGTGGAATGGACCTAGGGGAGGTCTGAGTTTTGGTGTCTCTGCATTTCCACCTGTACCAGGCGACTCACTGTGGCTGCAGTGGGGAGAAAACTGAACTGGAAAACGACCACTGAGGGTCTCATACTGGTTATGGACTGCTGTAGGCCTTGGAAGTTTTTAAGGTCTATCATGAGATGAGAAAAACAGTGAGAATGTATATTTGCTTATAGGTGCTTCTATATGTATATGCACACATATTTGTAAGGAAGGTTATGTTTTGGTAAGAACCATCCTTTATGCATTATATCTATGATTCTGATTGCTAGCTGCTTCCTAGTCTCCATTCTCCCTTTCCTTCTTCTGGGTCGTCCCCTAAAGATGCACATGCCAGACTCTCTGGGCACCACCCCTCCTCCCGTCTAGGGTTGGAAAATCACAACAACCAGAGCAAGCTGGAAGGACTGGCAGATGTGCTTCTCCAGGCCTGTGCTGCCTGCCTGTCTGCCAACTACTGTACGAGAAACAAACTATTTATGAGTTTCTTTATCACAGTATCTGAACCTGTACCTACACACCTCAACTAATGCCCTTCCTATGTTTTGAGTATTAAAATGTTCCTCTAATGAAACGACTGTAACAATAGATGAGATTTGTAAAATCCTTAACTGAAAAACAAAAAGAAAGTGAATAGTCTTACATCAGTATTCCTAATCAATTAAAAATATTTTGATCTGTGAAACTGAAAGTTTAAGAGTCCTTGATTTTCAAGGTCAATGGATCAAATAGGAGACATACACATTGTTTGAGGCTCAAGGGAGGATGTTGGCTTGACTAGGGAGGATGTTCTAGCATCTAGCAAAACTCTCCCCAAATCTCTTACTTGCATGTGAGGTGACTCTCATAATTGGGGCCACTTTCAGTTTTTTAGCTGGAAAAGTGAAGGGTGGAAGATGATCAGTGAAGGAAAGGCTATTGTTGGACTCATGAAAGACCCTAAAAAGCATCTTTAGGTGATGGTCGTCTGCACTAGGTGCAAAAATAAAGTGACATTGAGGAAAAGCTCTACATGCCATTGACAGGGATGTCAAATATGATCAATTAATTGTGGCTGCCTGGAAAATACTGAGAATACCATGGTCCATTAACAAGGTTGTCTCGTGTATGGAAGAAGTCATTTCTGCTGTAATTAAGAAATCCTTGGGATGAACCAGTAAATCCATCTTTCTTACCTGTGTGCCACACTGCCTTTCTTGATATCTGATATAACCAGGGGGTCTCCTGGTTTTCTACTGGATGGTGCTGTAATAATGAGGATAGAATAGTCACACCTTTATATTCAGGATTCACCCATTACTGTACAAGTTTCATTTTATAACAACTGTTAGTGCAAGCTCAATTTGTATGCAAAGAAAAGAGAATCAGTAAATGAATTTTAAAATGTGCACATTATCCCTTCTAGATATAAAAATATGTTTGTGTTAAAGTACTTAGAAACTTGAAAATGCAAGCAAAGTTATTTTAAATTTGCAACTGGAGAAAGCAAGTGAAAAGCTGTCCATTAGGATTAAATCTGTTTCAATCTGTGATTCTCAGCAGAGTGAAGTGAAGGGCGAAGAGTCCAACAGAACAGTGTTAAAAGCAATTAGGGGCTCCCCTTGGTGATACTCACATGTAATCCCTTCTCCTACCCGCTCTTTCACTCCTTACCAGTGAGGAGATGCCACTCTTTTATGGGACCCTGTCATATTACTCAAGCGTATTGTGTGGAGAGTGGGTGAGAATCAGTGATGTAAATTTTTTTTTCCCCAGAAGGAAATCTTCTGCTAGATAAACTGTAAATCCTAAAATTTTGCTCACAAATTCATACCTAGAGTGCTCCGAAAATGTTCAGAAATGTGACTGATGCTATATATTTTGATATACATTCATATTCTAAACATGTACATGTGACTTTTATTGAGTTTAAAACCATCATTCTGCACAGGGGTCAGTTATGGGCTTATAACTTTTCTTAAGAATATTTCTATTTGGTGATAATGAAATAATAATAATGAAAAGTAATTAGGAATTAGTCTTAGAATTAATCCTCAAAATGAATTATAGTACATGTAAGAACAAAAGTATCATCTTGACCTAGAAAATTTACATTTAATTTAGGAATTCGATGATTAAAATGAACCATACCAACATTTGTAAACAACAATATGCCTCCAAGAGGAGATGTTTTGCCAACATTGAAGCCTGGGGTGATTTCCTTTTAAGGATCATTAAAAGGCCCCTAATGTAAGATTTTATTATAAACAGTCTGATCACCCCATAATAATCGTAGAACCATATCATATCCCATAATCCCATCTGAATCCCAGGAAAACGTTTATGCACAAGAACAGATGGTTTAATATCTCAACACATCATTGAAAGAAAAAGCAAACACATATACCAATACCTTACCCACTGAGTTAGTCCACAGTAAATGTTAATGGGACTTCATCCAATCATTATTCTTAGCTTCTAGCAAAGAATGCAAAACATTCTGTTCACTATATTTAATTCATGATTTAAACCTCTACTCAACGATTTGCTGTGATTTCACCAGAGAAATATAAACACTCAGCAGTTTTACTCGTGTTATATTTCAGAACAGCAAATTGTTCTGGGCATAGAGCGCAAAAACAAAAACTTTGACCAGTAAATACAGCTTTCCTACCATCTGCCAGTGAATTTATACAGTATTTTCCCAAGCTTTAGTGACCATCAAAGAGCACTTGATATTTCCTTTGGTTTTTAAAAAAATTCATGGTCCATTGAAATTGGCTAAAACAAAACAATAATATAGGCAACAAAATACCTCAAACTCGTCTCTGTCATCCTTCTAACAGAGGAAAATAACACTGACCCCTGGACAAACCCACACAGCTTTGCAGAGAGGTTTGAAACTTCAAAGGGTCTACAGACATGCATGGCGGCCATTTCGTGTTTACTTCGTTCTTCTGTTTCTCCTTTAATCAAGTTCCAACTTGAGGTTTGAAAGGTTCATCAGGGTGGATGCCCCCTGGAGTGATGAAAACTGAACCCAGAAGTGGGTCCAAATCTGTACGAGCTGACACCATCACTACCACGCTTACTACGCACGCTTAAAGTGGCCATGGATTTGGGGCTTTGAGGGCTCAGGCATGGTTTGCACACCCTAGCACCATGTTTTTTCTTTTTAAAAAATTTTATTGAAATATAGTTGATTTACAATGTTGTGTTAACTTCTGCGATACAGCGAAGTGATTCAGTTATACATATATGCACATTTTTTCTTAATATTCTTTTCCATAATGGCTTATCACAGGATGTTGACTATTGTTCCCTGGGCTATGCAGTAGAACCTAGTTTATTCATCCTGTATATGAAAGCTTACATCTGCTAACCCCAGCCTCCCATTCCATCCCCTCCCCAGCCTTCTTCCCACATGGCAACCACCAGTCTGTTCTCTATGTCCATGAGTCTGTTTCTATTTCATAATAGGTTCATTTGTGTCATGGTTTAGATTCTATATATAAAGTGATATTGGGCTTTCCAGGTGGCACTAGTGTTAAAGAACCTGCCTGCCAAAGCGGGTTAGGCTTAAGACATGCTGGTTCAATCCCTGGGTCGGGAAGGTTCCCCGGAGAAGGGAATGGCAATCAATTCCAGTATTCTTGCCTGGAGAATCCCATGGACAGAGGAGCCTGGCGGGGTACAGTTCACAGGGTCGCACAGAGTCGGACATGACCGAAGCGACTTAGCATGGCACATAAAGTGATATATCAGTTCAGTTCAGTCCCTCAGTCATGTCCAACTCTTTGTGATCCCATGGACTGCAGCGTGCCAAGCTTCCCTGTCCATCACCAACTCGCAGAGCTTGTTCAAACTCATGTCCATTGAGTTAGTGATGCCATCCAACAATCTTATCTGTCTTTCTTGGCCCATGGAAGCCAACCAAAATCTAAGTTTTTACAAGGTTATGAATCAAAATACTAAGGACAACCAGTCACAGTCAACTAAGGTTTATAGCCAATCAAATAATTTCCTTTCTTTGCCTCCAATCTTCCTGTATATGTCTATCTCTGGACTCCTGTTGGGAGAGATTCCTAACTACTTCTGGTTTGACACTGTAAGATATGAATCAAGTTGTTTTGCTCAAATAGACTTAAAATTTTTAATATGCCTCATTTTATCTTTTAACACTTCCCTCTTGCATCCTTGAAGTCCTTGCCTCCCGAATCCAATTCTCCCTCCTTCTGGCTTTACTCTTTTGGTGACTGGTACACAGAGGAGCCCACAGTCCATGGGCTCACAGAACAGTCAGACACGGCTTAGGGGCTAAACAACAACAACACATTCTCTAACAGCTCCCCGAGGAAGAGTGTATGGGAGGAGAGTATTTTGAATCCTTCATAGTTGTCTTTGTTTTACTTTCAAATTTTCTAGATGGTAAATTCTAGGCTAGAAATTCCTTTTCTTCAGAACTTTGAAGGCACTCTTCCATGGGTTTCTAGATTCCAGAACTGCTATGGGTTGAGAGGCCTGATGTCATTTTGATTGTTGTCATTCAGTTGCTCAGTCGTGTCCGAGTCTCTGTAACCCGTGGACTGAAGCACGCCAGGCTGGACAATAAAAAAGGCTGAGCACCAGGCTTTCCTGTCCTTCACTATCTATCTCCCAGAGTTTGCCCAAACCTTTTTTATTGTCCAGCTCTCACGTACATAATTACTGGAAAAACCATAGCTTTGACTATATGGACCTTTGTAGGCCAAGTAATGTCTCTGCTTTTTAATACATTGTCTAGGTTATTGCTTTTCTTCCAAGGTGCAAGCGTCTTTTAATTTCATGGCTACAGTCACTGTCCGGAGTGATTTTGGAGCCCAAGAAAATAAAGTCCGCCACTGTTTTCATATCTATTTGCCATGAAGTGATGGGATTGGCTGCTATGATCTGCGTCTTTTGAATGCTGAGTTTTAAGCCAGCTTTTTCACTCTCCTCTTTCACTTTCATCAAGAAGAGGCTCTTTAGTTCCTCTTTGCTTTCTGCTGTGAGTGTGGTATCATCTGCATATCTGAGGTTATTGATATTTCTCCCCACAATCTTGATTCCAGCTTGTGCTTCATCCAGCCTGGCATTTTGTGTGATGTACTCTGCATATAAGTTAAATAAGCAGGGGGACAATATACAGCTTTGACGTACTCCTTTCCCAACTTGGAACCAGTCCATTGTTCCATGTCCAGTTCTAACTGTTGCTTCTTGACCTGCATACAGGTTTCCCAGGAGGCAGGTAAGGTGGTCTGGTATTCCCATCTCTTTATTTATTGTATTCTGATACATTGTGTGAAAACATCCCCTGCCCCCCACCCCGGAAGCTTGTAGGATTGTCTTTTTCTCCCAGGGTTTTCAAATCTCATGATGACATGCCTTGGTGTGGGTCTGTTTTCATCCATCCTTTTGGAAACTTATATCCTTCAATTCTAGAAAACTTATGATAATATTTCCTTTTTTTTCCTTCAATTTTGGGCCACATCACTAGGTATATGGGATCTTAGCTCCCTGACCAGGGATCAAACTTACACTCCCTACAGTGAAAGTGTAGAGTCTGAACCATAGGACCGCCAGGGTAGTCTCTGAAAGTATATCCTTATACTTTTGTCTCCTCTTTCATTTTCTAATGCACATTATTTGGACATTGTGTTATTTGGGCTCATCTTGTATAATTTTCCTGTCTCTTCTAGATTCTTCATTATTTGTTGTTTTGTCCTAATTTCTAGAAATCTTCAACATTATTATCCAACATTTCTGTTGAACTTTTTTATTTCTGCCATATTCTTACTTTTCAAGAGCTGTTTGTTTCCTGTCTAGTGGCTACTGATCCACAGTTATTCAGTGCCCCCCACATATCCATGGATACAGATGATGTTAATGAGTGTTTTTTTTTTCTTTTTTAAAGTTTTCTTCTTCTTGCATGTGCTGTTTCTGTGTTTCCTCTTTGTTTTTGGTGATAGTCTTGCATCTTAGATTCTTTCTTCCACGTGTTTGTGTTTTTCTTTGCTGTCTGTTCACATTCCAGATGGCCCTGCAAAGTAGCGGTTTGAAAGCTTGGTGCTCCAAAGTGGGGCTCCTGGGGTAACAGTAGTCACTCTAGAGTTCTGACCAGGTTGTTTCTTTGGGTCAGATGGCCTTGATTCTTCCTTCTGCTCAGAGGGGATTAAGCCTGGCTACGTGGCTTCTTAGAACTTCAGGGAAAAGAACAGCAGCCTCCGCATTCAGTGTTTCACTGGATC